GCCGAGCCTAGCTATTTTATTTTAAATTGTTGTTGTAGTTGTCATTGTTGTTTGGCAGGCCTGGTCTAGATTTGAACCTGCCAACTCCAGTGTATGTGGCTGGAGCCCTTGCACTGAGCTAAGGGCACCGAGCCTTGGGTCACATCGTTTTTCTTTCTTTTCTTTTTTTTGGCCAGGGCTGGGTTTGAACCTGCCACCTCTGGCATATGGGGCCGGCACCCTAGTCCTTTGAGCCACAGGCGCCACCCCACATAGTTTTTCAATGGTATAATAATAATATAAGATAGCCGTGTTTTCCCATTGGCTCACTGGTTGGAATGCTCTTGTTTTCTTCGGCAGTTCTTTCTCCCCAAACTTCAGCTATATCAAGAACAATATCATAAAGCACAGAAATCAGTTTCCCCCTTACCTGTCTGCTGTATGGTAGTTATTGCCTGGGCATTGCACTGCAGCTGTAACATGTGTCGCAGCATGGCCACTCCCCAAATATCCAAATCTGGACAGAACTCTGGAGCTGCTGCTGCTTTCAGCTTAGAGGATTTCAGACCTGTTGTGAGTGGCCGTAAACTGGCTGCTTCTAGCTGCCTGCACAGTGCAGAAACACTCAGAGCACAGAGAAATTTGTGCTCTGGGCTGTGGTTTTCAGTATGGGGCAAAAGGTTGAAGACAGCGTTATAATTATTCTCATACTTCCCACTAATATCACATCCAGGAATTGGGGTCTGAACTATTTCGCCATTTTCTTCATTTGCCCCCAAGTCATAATTAAGTATCTTGACCAGATTCTTGCTTTCAGGTGAACAGATGTCCTTGAGACTAGTCTCATCACGAAGCTTCCTTATGATTTTGCCTACATCCTCAAATCTAGCTAATAGAGTCAACCTCAGGGCAATGTGGCAAAAGACACCCAGTGTGAGAAGCAGCCCCCCTAAGGAACACTCTATACTATGGTAGAGCTCCCAGGCCTGCTGCAGACACTCTTGGCTGCAATACTTCACATAGCTGCATCCATCACAAGGAACTGTGGCCAAAGTGTGCCTCAAACATCGGTGACAATAGAGGTCCCCATTGGTGACTCTGGTTCTCCACTTGCTCTCTAAGCCGTGATGCAGTGGTTGCATTTCTCCTGGATTAAGGACACTCACAAAAGCATCCTCTTTCACCAGGAGCTCTCCTGGGAGAATATCTCTTGTGGCAATCAGATAGCGGCCTTTTAAAGGGTCAGTGCATAAGGTGACAGATGACGATGCACTGGAAATTTGTTCATTCTCTTCCCTTAGGTCCATGTCCTCAAAGGCTTTGGGTAGAGCTGCTGGGAGGATTTCTGTGAGATTTTTCTTTTCTTGTATCTTCATTTTCAGATGACACAGGTTTTTCTGTAGAATCTGAAAGCGGGAATCCACTAGGGTTGGTTTGACAGTGAAGTTATTAATACTTTCAAGATCACTGATGGTCTGGGTTGCCTCCTGTAGTCTCCCCAGGGTCACCAGACATTCTGCTTTACGCAACATTATCTTGGGTTGTAATCTTTCTGGATAGCCATGCAGCTGTGCTCTGATAATGTCGTTAAGACATGTCTGAAAACAGAAAGGAAATCCCAAAATGATCTTTGTCCCTACTCTTCAATGTCTACTGAAAATGTTTCCAAACTCTAGGGAGATGTAGGCAGGAACTACAGGTGCCCACCACAATGCTTGGCTAGTTTTTCTATTTTTAGTAGAGATAGGGTCTTGCTCTTGCTCAGGCTGGTCCTGAACTTCTGAGCTCAAGCAAACCACCCATCTCAGCCTCCCAGAGTGCTGGGATTACAGGTGTGAGCCACTTTGCCTGGACTTTTTTTTTTAATTTCAGGTTATTGTGAGGGTACAAACAACCAGGTCACAATTTTTGAATTTGTTAGGTAGAGTCTCTCTTGTAGTTGTGTTTTTCTGTTTTGGTAGAGACAAGGTCTATCTTTGCTCAAGCTGGTCTCAAACTCCTGATCTTAGGGGATCTTCCTGCCCACAGAGTGCTAGGATATAAGGATGAGCCATCACGCCTGGCCAATATTTTATTTTTGTTTTATTTTACAGATAGAAGAATTATAGTAAGGGACCTCCTCCTTCTTGGTACTAATGTCCTTTACAACCGTCGTGTAACCATGTGTATCCATCATTTAGCTCTCGATTATTTATTTATTTATTTTTATTTTTCAGACAGAGCCTCAAGCTGTCCCCCTGGGTAGAGTGCCGTAGCATCACAGCTCACAGCAACCTCCAACTCCTGGGCTCAAGTGAATCTCCTGCCTCAGCCTCCCAAGTAGCTGGGACCACAGGTGCCCGCCACAATGCCTGGCTATTTTTTGTTTGTCGCTGTGATTGTTGTTTGGTGGGCCTGGGCTGGATTTGACCCCGCCACCTTGGGTGTATGTGGCTGGCACCTTAGCCACTTGAGCCACAGGTGCCAAGCCTAGCTCTCGATTATTAATGAATACATGTGGTGTTTGTTTTTCCATCCCAAGATACTTCACCTAGCATGATGTGTTCTTTTTTAAGTAAGTAGAGCATTTTCAAGATTATTCCTATAATAATATAACTCACCCTTACAAGCATTGTGACATCCTGGAAAAAACCCTTGTAATTCATAATATAGACAAAGATGATAATAATGATTACTATTTATTGAGCACCTACTGTGTTCCAGGTACTCCTTTCAGCAGTCTGGACATATTACTTCATTTCATCCTCATAACAAGGGGTATGAGGAGGTGTCAGGGTAAATCTTATCTATTGGGTAAACGATGGGTACACTAAAAGCCCCAGCTTAACCATCATATAAGTTATCCATGTGATGAAAACATTTGTAATAACTTAATATTTTGAAATAAAAAACAAAAATTCTAAACATTAATAAAAATAAGGAAGTATGAACTGGAAGTGTGATCAGCAACACCTAGCTCAGCTGCTATCCACTCCAGCACTACTGACCTCCTGGATATAGTCCCTGCCCTTGGGGAATGTACCAAAGCCCTTCCTTGTCAATCAACAATACTCTGCATGGTCACCTGTGACAGGTGAAATGAATCAGGAGAAAGAACAAGTTTGGGCATACTTTGATGCGCTGCCTTCCATTTCATCTACTGCAGCATGGCCTGCTTTCAGTGTTCAAAGGAAGCAGCAGAAATGAAGGCCCAGCCCTCCAAAAGCGGCCCTGCAAGATCCTTTCCAATCAGACCAGTCATCAGACACTCACCTCATACTGACCCAGGTGGAAGAGGGCTGCAGAGCGATTAGCATAACACAGTGAAATGTCCTCAGTGTGAGGCCTTGAGTGGGAAACTCCCTGCAAAACAATGAACTGGTTAAAGGCATAAACAGAAACTGACATTTCTAAAACATATTCTTCAGCTAATAGGGGCTCTACTACCAAAGACTGTGTGAAATTGGGATAGTGACTGAACCTATTTACTTTAGCTGCTTCAAATTCATTTTTAACTACCTTAGAGGAAAGCTGTGGAGATCACGTGAGGAAATAAATATTCAAAACACTTTGAAGATAGAAACATCAGACATAGCTTCAACCACAAATAATAGTAAAATGGAAAACTGAGCAAAATATTTGCAAGCATAATCCTGACTAAAAAAATGGGGGAGGGGCACAAACAGAAATTCGCAGATGAAGAGACACTCATAGTTAATATGCAGAAAATGAATGGGTAGGTTCATATATGAACAGCCAAATACGTGAACAAGAAGCAAAAAGGGATACTTTTTCTACCATCAAATGGGCAATGACTAATAATAACCACAAAGGTAGCAGCTCAGATCACTGGAAAAAAGATGGGAATTATTTGAAAAAAGCACTGGGATAAGTAGTAGGCAGCCAAGGGGGAAAAAAGTTGGCAAAGTTGCCACCATATATGATAAACCTTTCATTGGATAAATTCCAAATGGATGTTACCATAAAAAAAAAAAACAAAACTACAAGGGCACAGGAAGAAACTATACAACCAGTCTAAAGCAATATTGGAGGAATCTCTAACTATGACATAAACCTAGAAGTCATGAAAAGGGTAATAAATTTGACCACAGGAACATAAAAAATAGCTTCATGGCAAAAGCTAATAAAAGCAATATCGAAAGGCAAACATTGGCATGGAAAAAACATTTGTAACTCATAATGCAGTCAAAGAGCTAATTTCTTTACTTCATTAAGAGTTCCTACAGATCAATAAGATGACAAACAATAAATCAATAGGAAAATAAGCAAATGATAGGAACGGTTTTTATGAAAAATACAAATAGCTCTTAAACATATGAAAAATGCTCAAACTCATTCATAATCAATAAAGGGCAAATTAAAACTGTACTAAGATATCAGTTTTTACCTATCAGATTGACTAAAATAAAATTGATAGCACACTGAGTTAGCAAAGGGGTAAAATAGTGGGCACTGCCATTCTGTTGTTACTGGGAGTATATATTGGTCTCATGATCATGGAGGGCAATTTAGCAACACATATCAAAACCCTATGTTTTATATACATATAAAATCCCCAATGGCCCAACAATCCCTCTTCTAGGAATTTATCCTAGACATATAATCATTTATCTTATAGATATATGCAAAATGACACACATGTAAAGGTTCTCATGTATTATTTGAAATAGCACAAGATATGACACAAATGTTGATCTGCAGAACATTGGTTAAGGGCCGGTACCATGGGTTAGGCCTGTAATCCTAGCACTCTAGGAGGCTGAGAAGGGTGGACTGCTTGAGCTTAGGATCTCAAGATAGCCTGAGTAAGAGTAAGATCTTGTCTCTAAAAAACAGCTGGGCATTGTGGCAGGCGCCTATAGTCACAGCTACTTTGGAGGCTGAGGCAAGAGGATCACTTGAGCTCAGGAGTCTGAGGTTGCTGTCAGCTGGGATGCCATGGCACTCTACTGAAGGTGATAAAGAAAGACTCTGTCTCATTAAAAACAAAAGAACACCAGTTAAATATATCATGATACATCCATTTAATGGAATACCATGTAGCCATAAAAAAGAGTGAGGAAGCTCTTTGTGTATTGATGTGAATGATCTTGAGATGATTTTTTTTTTTTTAGATAGAGTCTCACTCAGTTGCCCTGGGGTTGAGTGCCATGGCATCATAGCTCACAGCAACCTCAAACTCTTTGGTTCAAGACATTTTCTTGCCTCAGCTTCCTGAGTAGCTAGAACTACAGGCACTTGCTACAATGCCCGGCTAATTTTTTTGTTTTTTAGAGACAGGGTTTTGCTCTTCCTCAGGCTGGTCTTAAACTCCTGAGCTCAGATAATCCACCTGCCTCAGACTCTCAGAGTGCTAGGATTACAGGTGTGAACCACCATATCCTGGCCTTTTCAGACTACTGTTAAGTGAAAAAAGCATGGGGCCGAACAGTATGTACAGAATGTTATCATTTATGTAAAAAGAAGGTGCGTGCACAAGTGGAAAATTACTTGTATTTACTTATATATGCTTGAAATACCTTTGGAAAGACACATTTAACAGTACTAGCTCATGGGGATGAGGAATAGGGTGGTCAGGGGATATAGACTACACTATATACTCTAATAACCCCTGAACTCTAACTATGTGAACACGTTTCCTTTT